TTCCTTTGTAGGTGAATCAAGTCATGGCTAGTCCATCAGAAGGTAACTCCTGGATTTCAAGGTGGTTGGAGGAGATCATCTGCTCTGAAAACTTTTGTGATACTGCTATGCTTAGTAAAGGTGTGCATGGAGCTCCACGTGCCTGCCTAGCAAGGAGGAAGACAGGTGTCCCAGAGAGGCTGAGAAAGTCAGCTGGGGTTGGTGGAATGTGCCCTAATCACTGTTGGTGGATCCACCCTAACAATTTCCTAGCACACTTGATGCAGCCTGAGAACCATTAAGATGGTCACTGGCAGGAATCCCTGGGCCTTTCAGTCTTTTGGCTATGGGCACAAATAGCCAAGTTGAGCAAAGGCATGTGGAACAACAATGATCTCCTAGTGCAGGAGTTTTGTGGTACTAAACAGAGAATGTAAAAGTTAAGTTTAATCTTCTGGGAGATGATCGTTTCTTATTAGTTGAAGCGATGATCACCTAAAGCATTTAAGCACGTGTGCAACTAATCTGGCTGGAGCTGCATGTGTAAAGTTTGGTAGCTGCTTTCAGGCTCAGGTCTGCAAGGGTGAAGTGCCACAGAAACAGCCTAGCAAAACAGTAGCTGCGCATTTAATGTTAAATCAGTCTCTCCTTTTAAAGTGAAGGCACATATAGGTGCTTTACTGGACTGGAGCCAGAGTGTCAAGAACCTTATAAAAATCAAGCTCTATGTGCTGTGCTGGGTCAGGATTTAACAGAGTAGATAGGGACGATGACTTCAATCAACATAATCCACAGTTGGAGTACTGCGTCGCAGTTGGAGTACTGCGTGCAATTCTGGACGCCGCACTTCAAGAGGGATGGGGATAACCTGGAGAGGATTCAGAGAAGGGCCACTCATATGGTTTAGGGCCTACAGACCAAGCCCTACGAGGAGAGACTAGAGAAACTGGATCTATTCAGCCTCCGCAAGAGAAGGTTGAGAGGCGACCTTGTGGCTGCCTATAAGTTCATCACGGGGGCACAGAAGGGAATTGGTGAGTATTTATTCACCAAGGCGCCCCCGGGGGTTACAAGAAATAATGGCCACAAGCTAGCAGAGAGCAGATTTAGACTGGACATTAGGAAGAACTTCTTCACAGTTCGAGTGGCCAGGGTCTGGAACGGGCTCCCAAGGGAGGGGGTGCTCTCCCCTACCCTGGGGGTCTTTTCCTGCTTATGCAGGGGGTCGGACTCGATGATCTATTGAGGTCCCTTCCGACCCTAACATCTATGAATCTATGGACACACAATTTTTGGGTAAGCTTTTTTCCAGACTTGGGGACTTTTCCCAAATGGTGAAAAATGCCCACAAGAAGCCACATAATATCTTATGCTGTTGAGTTGGTAGAGCAAGGAATGAAGACAAAGGTATTTTAAACTGTACTCAGGTGCTTTGCTATATGGGTATAGACTAATGAAGTATGCCTACATGTAGGCAAAGATCAACAGCAAAGTACGTGTGGTTTTAAAATTTAAATACATCTTTAAGGAAAAATCTGCAGTGTAGCATATTCACTCTGAACCAATTTTCTCCCAGTAAGCATTAGACAGTCGGTATCAACACTTTATTTCTACATTTCATTCATTACAGTCTGTATCTCAGCTGGGAGGCAGAAAGCTCAATATGTGGAACTTTCTTTACATCAGGTTCAGACTTGGGTGGCAATAAAACTGCATTTTAAAAAGAGTACTTCATTTTAATCAGTTTATTCTTTGCTCTCCAGGAGACAGGACATTTGCTCTTTCCTTACAGAGCTCGGCGTGGAGTAAAACTGTAGGAATAACTGATACAAACAGTGACAGACTTGGATTAAATCTTGTATACAATCATTTATAATCTGGCAGTTCTCAAAGATGATCTAATCAGAATGTATCCTCTGTTCTCATCATGGAATATTTTTAGTCCATCTAATGGTTGATAAGGTAATTTTGACACATCTAAACCACTCTAAAAATATCCTACTCAGAAGAGACATTACAGTGTTTGCGGACTCAAAGAGGTTTTAGTAATACTTTATTTGATGCAAGAGCTGAAAGACTGAGTGGAGCAGCCATTTTTGACATGACAAATCATAACCTGTTTTTAAAGCTAGCAGCCAGTGACTGATAAAGCTTGCATGTCTCATAGGATCTTTATAAAAGACATACCTTACTGTCAAAGAGGGAGAGGGGCTTCATGCTCTTCAGAGAAAATCTCATGATTCCATACAAGATGGTACACAATATGGAATGATGTTCGACAAGTGGGTAGTGGATGCGTTTCTGCTCAAGAGCTAGCTCTATTATTGAAACAGGTCCTTCTACAGACACCCAGGCATCTTCTGTATCCAGTATCGGAGCATGCATTTCATCGCTTCTAATATCAGCCTAGCACAGAAACATCAGCAATCTTAAGGAACTATATTTTGGGCTACTGCACAAAAAGATGTTTAGATGATCTACATTTAAAAAAAAATTACAATAAACCAAATTTTCTTTTACAGTAGCATTTAAAAAAAAAAAGGACTTTTCCATATTGCTAGAAAAGACATTTAAGTGAAGCCATAAAATAATTTTACTTTTATTATTCATTAAGAACATCTACAATTAAGATCATGAATGTTCGTTTTTATTGAACCCTCTCACATTTTTACCTCCATTAAGATTTGAAGAAGATCTGAACAAGAACCCAGAAAAGATGTCATTGCAGTGTCACCCATACCTACATCCTGTTAAAAACAAAGAACAGATAAGTACCACACAAATTTCATTGGCTACATCTCAAAACACTCCAGTTGAAGCTAATAGACAAAGAGATCTTATCACCAATGGTTATATTTAAGAGGGGAGACTTTGCTAGAGAATCCCTGAAGCATTAATTCTATTACCTTACAACAAGTGATGCCAAACAAGGCTGAAACTTGTTTGCAATACAAAAAGATTGGGGAATAATAGGAACAAAAAGATCATTTTAGTAAGGTCTTGAAATATCTTGAAGAAGTTTTAATTTAAAAAGCTGCTTATTTTATCCACTTATTGCCTTACTCTAGTATGCAAGTAGGAAGCAAGAATTTATTAAACAATCTTTTAAAATTGAGCTGGTTTCAGATCACTCTGCTAAGAGAGTGACTAATGAATAGTGTCTGTAACCTGCTAGTAAGTAGCCAGGTTTTAGCCTCAAGCCTACCTTCCATGATATCATTAGTTATTACATCTTTCAACACTGATGGTCAAATTAGAAATTTAAAACTGGCTAAAATTCACCACTAGTTCAACTCAAAATTAAAATTTAATAAAATATTTTAATATTCTTTGTCATCTTTATATAAAATAGGTGTTACTTACCCTTCTGCATAATCTGTCCTTTGGAGCTTTTCCAACCTAATTTAAAACAATTGTACAACATAACAGGTAAAGAAGCGATTTATTAAGTTAGTCAGTTATAAATATTTCCCTAACAACAGAAAAAAACTACTGCACAAAAACATACAATGCTACATGGGATATGTTTAATTTTAAAAAGTCTGATTGACTACAAGCTATATGACACAAAATACTGGGTGGAACAGAGTTTGTTAAATATTTGCAAATGGCTAGAGACTTGGCAAAAATATGTATTGGCTGAAGTCTTTCACACCCTTGATTGGGTGTAATTTATTGCCATCTTCTACAAAAAAAAAAAAAATCACACTGAAAATGACTCTTGCGTGTTCAAATATTATCCATGAGATCTGTATGAAAATCCTTAAGATGTTCCTCAAGAAATAAAATTAAACAATTAAAGAGCCATTTAACAATCTTAAGAGGCCTCTTAAGAGAGCAGTGTTACTCGCACTGATGTTACAAGCATGCAATTGTTTCATAGCTTTTTAATATGAATGGCAAGGAATAAAGCAAAAAATTCTTTGTTTTTACAAGTGTTACAACACTCTGGACTCTACTCTAGATTTGTCTTCCAGGCTAGGGACAGAAATGACATAGAAATTGTTATAAGTGATCAGAAACCAGTTCATATCTGTAACACAACGCAAGTTCAGTGCACATATCTTCAAAATGACCCAAACCAGTTTAAGATAAACCTGTTAATTGATTTAGGTTATATTGGTTTATGGAATTTCTGTCCCGGATCCCTTCCAGATTCAAGTCAACTCACAGTCCCTCAAAATCCCAGAATGCTTTGCATCTCCCCCACAAGCCCCCTTTGCAGGGTGGGTGTGTTAGCCTTGGTCCAAGTTGTCTGCTCCAACCGAGCTGGGAGGTGTGCTCTAGCACCCCATGGCTTCTGGCCCAGCCACTGCAGGCATATGGCTGCATTTCCGGGATCAAAACTCAATGTCTATTTACTTATCGGTTCAATCTACCCATATTACACTAACCTACAAAGATTGAATCAATTCAGCCTCAGGCTTTTTGAGTGTCTGTACTTAGCCCTAGAGATCAACTAGCTTTCCTCCTCAGGTACCACATGCAGCATGTAGTTTCTGCAAATAATTTAAATAAATCCAGCTGAGATTATTTAAAAGAAGCACTCAAACACGTCTATCTATGCTAAGTAAACAGGTTATCTGTGTACTAAATGCATGGCAACTCATTACTGTATGTAACAAGGATAAACAACTGGTACATTCTTGGGGAGCTGAAAATGCCAAGCACAAATTCAGCTAGGCAGTGGAGAATGACTGGCTCTATATCTCAAAGCCTAGGTTCTAAGCAGGCAGAAGGCAACCAAACATGAAAAGCAACTCTTCCTTCAAGATCTTAAAAAATGTCTAACATTTTTTAAAAATTGCATGAAGGGCAGTTTTACTTTTGGGTCATTTGCTGGTTACTAGATTTATAAAATGCAAAAAAAACCCACAACAGGTAACAGAGCACTGTTATCTCCTGCTTTCCCTTAAAAATGAAACCTCGTTTACCAGTGGTTTGAAGATGTAAACTTGGCTGCAGATAATTTTTTTGACATGCAGCACTAGTGTGTCTGTGTCTCTGCCCCAGTCTAATCTCCATAGCTTTGCCAGTGGAATTCAGATTCAACCAACTCATGGACATATTCAGGGGCTCCCTTATGGTGGCTAAACCCTTTCTTTCTGTCGGCAGAGCAACACTAGTTTTGTAAGCTGTGTTTAGTACATGGGAGCTGCTGCCAGAAAGCAACTATAGACATACCCATATTTTCTGCTCGCTGCAACAACCCCCCTTAGCAGCTGGTGCCTCCAAGCATGCAATGTACACACTGTTTGCATGGCTGCTGCATAAGCTGCACAGAGCCACACAAATGGTGACAGCCTTTGGCAGTTTCCATGTGGTAACTGCTGTCTTCTGGCAAAAGGCACATAACAGACGCATGTACGTCAGACAAACAAAACAAACATTAAGTGTATGCTGTCATCACTGGTGTGTAGCAGCATTTGCCAGCTTCAGCTGCTCATTAAAACTGACACTAAGATCTTGTCTACCAGCAGGGCATTCCAGAAGAATAAATGCAACTTTCTAAGTGGATGTTCTCCTACACGCCTTCAACATCATTCGCCTCCACTGTCAAATCTCTGGTCCTTCAAAAACATTTTTAAAAAGCAATGCTTTAAGGATTTTACAGCTTAATTCACCTATTAATAAAATAGCAAGAAGTAAATTAAAAAACTAGTAGCTACGACGCCGTTTACCTTGTCCATTAGGTATGTAGCAGCAGAAAGCCTTTTGACCATGAACGTATTCCACATCATTAGGGCAATACCTGAAACAATTACATAAACGTTAAACATCATGTGAATGATATGTCAAACACATTTAATGTAAACCCTCTACCATGGAAGAACAGGGAAGGGACTGTTTAAAACAGAGGACTCCAAATTTTTTTCATGGAAGGCCACTTAATGGTTGCAATGTCACCCTGCGGGCTGCGTTAAAAAAAACAAACCTCTATGCTCACTGGATGTAACATAATATATGCCATATGTATACAAAGATGCAATAAAGGAGTCATGGGAATGTGGTGTAGGTCTGTCAATGACTAGTGCAGTGTCAATAACTACAGCTTCACTGTTTCTGGTTCTGTGGAGGATGGTTGCCATTATGGCTAGGGAGAGAAGTTACACATAAACCTGTTCAAATCTGTAACACAACAGAATTCTGTGCACATAAACCACTTTCAAAATGGCTGAAACCCGTTTAGGATAAACCTGGATGACTATACTATCAGACTTAACTGATTTAGGTTAAATAGGTTTGTCCAACTTCTGTCCCAGATCTCCTCCAGATTCAAGTTAACTCATAGTCCCCCAGCATCCCAAGATGCTTTGCACCTGTCTCCCAGCCCCTCTTGCAGGGTAGGTGGGCTAATTTTAGCCCAAGCTGTCTGCTCCAGTTGAACAGGGAGGCATGCTCTAGCACCCCCCAGCTTCTGGCCTGAGCCACTGCAGGCATGTGGCTGCATTTCTAGAATCAAAAGTGAATGTCTCTTCACTTGCTTATTGGTTCACTCTATGCAATAGACTAATCCGCGAAGACTGAATCAATTCAGTATGGGGCTTTTTGACTGTGTGTACTTAGCCTATAAGAAGTTCCTTTATGGCAAGGGTGGGCAAAATACGGCCCGTGGGCCAGATCTGCCCCATGAGGCCATTCTATCCGGCCCATGGGGCCCCCCCAAAAAATGTAGAAAGTTAATATATTATCTGCCCTTGGTTCCTGTCAAAAATGCAGGAACCAAGGGCAGTAGGATCCAAGGGAAGCCCGGTGGGCTCCAACAACAGCAGGGCCCACCTGGCCCCACCAGAAGCCCCAGCCAGGGTTTCTGGGCTGGGAGCATGTGGCTGCCCCGGCACAGGAAGCTCAGGTAAGTGAGGGGGGGGAACCCCAGGCAGGG